GTACGTACGTGTACTNTATGACTTTTCAATGATTTTGTCGTATATATACTATTTTGGTAAGACTTAGTAAACTATANCGAATGGTTGTATAGTAGTATAATACAACCGCACATCTAAAAAACCATATTTTGGCATTTGTATGATCCTAAATATGGCACACACATTCTTTTCATCCCCATAATCAATCATACGGAAAAACAAATTTCAGTTTGCACCCCAGATCTAACAATGAATCTCGACCATCCATTTGACGAATTTCAAGATCTAAGCCTTAACAAATTCAAAATCACTTTTTCCTATTTGAGCATTATTAATCTAATGATGATAACGCTATATAAATATTTTGGGAATAAAAAAATCCTTCTGAGGCCTATATCTAACCTATCTCAATAAAATGGACGTCTTATATTAATTGAGATAAAATGAAAACTTTCTAGAGAATTTTTTCAAATTTTTTTTTTTTGTGATTGTTCTTCCGATTGAAAAGAGTATACATTTAAAAATCCATGTCAAACAAATGTCTCTAACATGGTTATTGAAAATGGTTGCATCATACTACCCATATATATATATATATATATCCATGAAAAAGCTTAGCCCACTAGCTCATATGAACATATAAGCCCAACGGCCCAGATTGAATCTGGGTCGATCTGATGATTACGAATGTTCGGTAGTGTTTGAATTTTATTTTATTTTTAAAAATTCAAATCATTTAAAATTTTAAGCCTGTGTTCATCAAAAATAGGTGAATCGTTAAAAAAATATCAAAAAAATATTTTACATGAAATAAATTGACCAAAATACCCCCAAGAAGTTTCAGGGGGTATTTTGGTTATTTTTTTGTAGAGAATTTTTTTTATATTTTTATAAGTATGCCTTGATGAGAAGAACACATACCTAAGTAATTTGATTCAAAGATAAAATAATAAAATTCAAGCAATATCGGACATCCGTGATCTTCAGATCGACCCAGATTCAATCTGGGCCGTTAGGCTCATATGTTCATATGTTCATATATATAATACAAATATAAATTAATAATATAAATATAATCAGCTTTTTTAAGTTCCATCATCTTAGAGGGAACTTTTTTTTTTTCTTAAGGACGAGGGAATAAAGAAGTTCTAGGTGGAATACTAAATACGAAACTTGTATAGTAATGGAGAAGTTCCTTCTTCCTCCCCTAACTTCATGTTATCCAACACGGTATAGAACTTCCGCTTATAATCATTAATTTGCTTTTTTAGTCCATTTTCCAATATCTTTTTTTCACATTTCGCTTTTCTCATTCGATGTCCCCTGAAATGTTAAATTTAAAAGGGGCAATAGTGCAAACTGGAACCACACCAACAACAGAAAAGCTGATCTGCAAAACTATCATCGCCAAGTACTTTATCTGGGCTGACGATGGGTTGGTTGATGCCTAGGTCTACCCAACTCGGGTCTAAGTTTGGGTCCCGCTTTTTGGACTTGTTGTGTGGGGTTTGGGTCCAGGTGTATCGGGTTTGGGTATTGAGAGTTGGGCCAACTTAGGTCGGGTCTAGCCAGTTTGGGTTGAGACTCACGACCAATTAGAGCCCTGCCCGGCCCCACCCCACCCCACCCCACCCCACCCATTATTTCTATGCATATAGTTATATTTCAAGTATTTCTATGCATATAGTTATATTTCAAGAAAGATCTTATAAAAGTTTATCATATGTTGGTTGAGTCCGGGTCCGCTCGACCTAAAACTCGATTGGAGCCAAAACCGTTAGAGCATGTTTTAAAGTCAAGAGGAATAAAAGTTTGAGTGTTATGAGAGTGCGAGAACGAAATCGAAGCGATAAGCGTTAGAGAGAGAGAGACCTGGATTCCTGACGGTGGCGTTAACGGCGTAGCCTTTCTCAAGGAGGCGCTTCACGAGCCAGGACGCCATGTATCCAGCAGCTCCCGTTACGCAGGCCGTCATCTTTTCCGTCATCTCGGATGCCTCTCTCTCTCTAACAGGTTGATTATATATTACCAACGCTAAGGAATACTATGTCCTTATAATATCCGAGAAATTTATTAAAAACATCTTCCTATTCATAATAAATTGGGGAATTAGTTTTTTGAGGAAGGTGAGCATGCCCTCATCCACTCACTCTCATGTGGTAGATAGATTATTCAACTTCCTTTGTCAACAACCAGTCAATTTTTCTTTTCCATTGAGTTTGGTCAGATCCCCCATTACCTTTTCCCTGCCTTTGATTTGAATGACCAAAGGCTACAATCGGTTATTTAATTGTCAGTCATGTTATACTTTACCCAATACAAGATCCTTTTAGGTTTTTTTTCCTCTGCCTACCAAAAGAAGAACATTTTTGAGAAGTTTTCTCACTTTTTTCAAGGATCATTAGGTTTGTGATTTACCTGCCTACCAATGAACAGATGAAAAGCCCTAAGGTTTGAAGTTTAGGTATGGCCCCTATCAGGGGCAAACCTCAAATTTCTGTTCAAATTTTGGATACTTGATGGAATTTATGCTCTCGGTGAAGAAAGAAAAAACATCATGGTTTTGAAGTTTTGATTACCTACTTTAGTTGCATAGTTCTTGGTAAAATCTTCAAATCATGACACTTTCAATTGAAATCGCTAACTCACTGTTATAGTTGTTCCCCCGTGTGTTGGTTTGGTTCGCCCAAACGCGTGCTCAAGGGAAAATAAATGAAAAGAGGAGATTGAAAATGAGATAAATCAAAGAAGTGACCGACCTAAACTTACTCTTAGTTTGTCCCTTTTTTTTTAAGGGCACGTTTGGTTCCTGCATAAAAATTTTTTGGATAATATTTTCACATGAATATTGTGTTTCATAAGTTGCTTAGTGGGTAATGCATATGCAAATAAATCACACGGTAAAACAAAATCTCACCTTGTGCGGTGGGGAAACATTCCTCGTCTAAATTACAAAAAAACCCTCAAAGCTACATTTTCTATACAACTTACCTTACCTCAACTTAATTTTTTCTCTCCCTTTTTTTCCCAAAATGTACTTTCTATGCAAAAACCCCCCAACCAAAAAAAAAAATACTTAAACCACCCTCTCTTATTTTTACCTTACCCATGCCTCTCTCTCCTCTATGGCACCAAAATCGGAGCTCTAGCACCATGTAAATGCCGTCCGGCAGTAGCGCTTTGGCACTGTGTAAAGTTCGGTCTGACAATAAAGCTCCGGCAATGTGTAAAGTGCGGTCCGACAGCAGCGCTCCGGCACAGTATAAAGTGCGCTTCGGCAATTGAAAAAGGCGGTCCGATAGTTGCAAAGGGCGGTCTGGCAGTTGCACATTCGGTACTTGTGCATTCTGTTAATGTGATGGTGCGCTCTGGCAATGTGCTACTGGGTCCAAAAGTCAACGTCAAATCTGTCCAAAATAATTTTTGTGTACGACAAGGGTATTTCCGTCTAAAAAAAATAAGCTTTTTTTCCTTGGAGGTATTTGCATAGAAAGTTTGTTTTGGGGAAAAAAGTAAGAGAAAAATTTAGGTTCGGGGTAAGTTGCATAGAAAGTTTGTTTTGGGGAAAAAAGTAAGAGAAAAATTTAGGTTAGGGGTAAGTTGAATAGAAAGTGTGCTCTTGAGTGTTTTTTTTTTTTTTAATTTCTCTTTTATTTTCACATGCCTACCTATTATTCACTATTTATAATATATTATATAAATTTTTTATTTATATATTAAATAATATATTTAACATATAATCTATATTTTAATATATTTAATATATAATATAAATAAAATTTTGTATAAATAACATATTATTTTATATTATACTATATTATATACTAGTAAATAATGTATATTAGTATAATATAATGTTATAACACAATACATAATATTAGTATTACTAGTATAATATTATATAAGATATATTAATATTTTGTAATATAATATTATATAATAAGGATTGTCTACAAAGGGATATTTTGTATGAAAGTCACAATCATTCTTGTCTCTTAAATTTCAAAATGGGTGGTTGTAAGAGTGTCATTGATTAGCCACAAAATTCCAATAAAATATTCTTGAACTTTGTGACTCTAATGAGTTGAAATAGTTGTGACCTCTTTGTACATAAGGTAAATGGCCTAATAATATATATGTTTATTATATTATATTATATTATAATATAATAGATATTTATATTATGAATAATGATCCTATGAGACCCTCTCACACCCATGTGTGTAGGATTCCAAAAGATCACCATTAAATTTGACACAGATTTTTAGAAATGTTATCACATGGGTGTGGAACTTAACTTTTCTATAGATCTGTGCCAAATTTAATGATGATCCTTTGGAGTCCTACACACATGGGTGTGGGAGGGTCTCATAAAATCATTACTCTTATATTATATAATACATTTTTAGTATGTAATATATTTTATTTATGCAAAAGACATTTACAATACAATATATATTATATAATATTTTATATTTAATATAAAATAATACTTAACTAATATTTAATATATAATAATTTAAAGTATTTAAATAAGGGTGCAGTTTGTATAGAGCCGCGGCTCTAAACAATCAAATTAGAGCCCACCTTCAAATAGTGTCAAGAAATATGATTTCAATATTGAAAATCTTTGTAATAGCCTTAAAATATATCTTCATCTTTAATTATAAAATTTAAAGCTCCAAAAATAGTGTAGATTGAGCAAGTCTATGAAAATTTGAAAATTTGACAGTCCCAAAAATGCATTGCAACATGCACTATTTCCAAAACGTAAAATCCATTTTTTATCATGTTCATACATCTTGATGTCGAGATGATCAATTTGAGGATATTTGAGCATAAAAAGAACCTCTTCTAGTGAAATTTTTGATGTGGGCTCTAATTTGATTGTTTAGAGCATAGGATTTATATAAAATTTTCTTTTAAATAAATATAATTATATATTTTTAGTTATAATATTTAAATATTGCATGTATAGATTTAATATGTTTAAATACAAAACAAGCTACCAAACATATGTAATTCATTAAACAGTACTTTTTAATATTGTTAACAAATATGGTGAAAAGAGAGTTTGTAAAAATTTTCTTACACATTGTTTACATATGTATAAATATTTTCTGTGGCGAAATATTTACGCACCAATCAAAGGTGACTAAAATTTGGGTTCGGGGACAAGTTTGGAGTGATGAAGAGCAACTTGTTTCATTTACATTTAAGTCTGGTTAAGCAAACCTAGAACATCCTTGACCAATGGGTCAAGAATAAATCAGCCAAAAACCTGAGCCCACCTAGCCGTTAAGAGATATACTAAATAAGAGTCTAGGTCCATACAATCCTCTTGCCATGGGTTTGCTTAGTGCTGCACCACCTGTTTTCTCTTTCTGTGTTCCACTCCTACCATAAAGGTTCACTCTCCCTCAGCCCAAAGCACTTTTATATGCACTAATGCGAAAGTTTGTGGAATTTGATAAGCTTTTCTTGGTTGTTTGTTGATTTTTATCTGTCCATCCTCTTATCTGATGGTTGATGATGCTTAGAAAGAGATTTTCTTGCTTCTAAAATTCTCATTCCAAGATGGACTGCTTTGAATTCAAAATCAAATGATACCGATTTTGACTGGGGTTTCTCAATTTCTTGATCCTTCGCTTTGTGCTTAGATCACTTTCAAACAGGGCTGTTTTCATCGAAATCTTTTTGTCGGATGAAAGGTAACAGTTTTAGGGTCATTGTGATCAAATTTCAAAACTGTTTTGAGTTGAGTTGATTGGGTTGAGTTCTACTGTGTTTGACATTAGACTGTAGTTCTTGTTGAGTGGACACTTCGCTCCAGCGGCCTTGATTCTGTGTTTGTTGACTAACACTTGCTACAGGATCCCTCTCTTGATTGTAACCTCCCAAGGATTCAAGCTTCTCTAAATACCTTAGAGGTTTACAAGAGATAAACATGAGCGTTTTTATAACCGTAGATGAAAAAACAAAAATGTTCGTTTAGCTCGACATTACCATTTGAGCGTTATTGATATGTGGCTTAAAAGGAACGGGAATGTTATACACTATAACAGGTAGTCAATAACGGGAATGTTATACACTATAACAGGAAGTCAATCTCAGGTAGTCAAGGAAATTAAGGGAAATGTGACCATTATAAAAAGTGAATAATGTTATTAAATATATTAACAAAAGAGAAAGAGATAGACCGATCATGAAGTAAATGATAGTCATGAGAACTTTGTGGCATACTCCAACACCTTCTACTTAGCCAGAAAGGTGTATACATTTGTTGAGCATAGGTTTTTTCATGCCCTTAGGGGCTGTTTTGAAATAAATAAAACTGCTTTATTTACCTTTTTGGAAATGACTAAAAATATCCTATTTTATTTGGCCTTTTTGCTCCACATTTTCTAAAAACTCTTCCATTGATTTCTCTTATTTAAACATTGAAGCAAATATGGCTATATACATTGAGGTAGGGTTTGGAGAGCTGGTGTGTTGCACCTCTCATTCTCTCTCAACATCTTTGTTCCCTCAATCTCTCTCACTCTCTCACCAAACATTCAGAAGTGCCTTGAGTTCAATGGTGTATCTATAGCATTGCAAGAGACATCCTAATCATCTAATGTGAAGTAATCTTATTTCATCACCTCTCTATTGTTTTTTATCTTTACATTGCTACTAATCCCTTCATGGTCCAGATTTTTCAGCAATGTTTAGCATGCTTACGATACTTTAAAAGTGTAGAGTTATTTGTTCTCTACAAACCCTAGTTGGACTATATTGGTGAGTTCGTTCTATACTTTTATTTGCTCATCTTGATATGATTCATGACTAAGATAGAGCATAAAATGCAAGATATCATATCGAGGATTTGAATAAATCATTTGAGGAGCTCTTATTATAAACATATGTTTATACTTCTTATGTGATTGGATTATATGCATGCAAAGTGTTTTATAATATTTTCAAGTAATTAAAGGGAGATTTTGATCCAAATCTGATTTTGTATTAATCAATATTAGTAGTCATCTTAAATCAATCCTAACATTTGGTATAAGAGCTTCCGTTGCATGGCTACTACAAGAAGCATACTTTAGGAATTGGTAAAAATTGAGAAGCTTGATGGATCTAATTTTTCTTTATGAGAAAATAAATTATTTCTCTTGCTTCATAATATGAAATTGTTATGTGTGATTAATGAAGAGAAACTAGTGAACCCGATAATGATTCAACTCTTAGAGAGAGGCAAAAATATTTGAAGTGAAAAAATGAAGATTTTTCATGTAGAGGTACTATCCTAAATTATTTAAGTGATAGGTTGCACAAAGTATTTGAAAAGTATGCTAATGGTGAGGTCTTATGGGTTGCCATTGAAACTAGTCACATAGATGATAATTATGTTGCTAAAGGTGAGCTTTATGAAAGATATAATATGTGTAAGATGAAAAATGATCAATCAGTGTTAGAGTATTTTGATGATATGAATATTATATCTAATCAACTTGCCGCTTATGGTGAGCCCATAAGTGAGCCCAAAAAATTATAAAAATTATTGAAAACCTTCCAAATTCTTGGAAAGATTTGAAAAAGACTTGCACCATAACGGTACAATCCTTGCTTTGGATGACCTTAAGGACATTTGAAGATAGAAGAGAACGATAAATTTAAAGAAAATGATGAAGAACTAAAAACCAAGCTCATTTGGGAATGGCCAAGAAAAATGATAACAAAGTTCCTAATTAGAATATTAATAAGCCTTTTATCCTAAAAATGATTACAAGTTTAAAATAAGTTATAATTGTAAAAAATTTGGTCATATTGCTAAATTTTGTCGGGAACCCAAGAAAAGGAATATTGAACAAAATAGTGGGTTCAAGGATTTCTCTTTTGTGGTTGAAGAATCGTTGATGGTGAACTCTCCTGATAAATGGTGGGTAGACTCCAGAGCTACTAGGCACATCACTAACACCAAGAACAATATAGTGCAGTTCAAAGAAAAGAATGATGGTGCTGAGAAACTTTTTATGCGCAACTCAACTAGCATTAACATTCTTGGATAATGGACAATTAAGCTTCCACTCCTATCCGGTGGCAATTTGACTCTTAATGATATTTTGTATGCTCTTGACATGAGAAAGAATGTAATTTCTGTCTCTAACTTTGATAGAGATGGGGGTGAAATTTATGTAAGGGGTGGAAAGATCATGTAAAGGCCACAATGGTTGGCAACATGTGCTTGAATTTGCTAATAGAATGAAAAAGTTATTTTCTTATGATGAATGTTTTAATATTTGATATAGAAGGCTTGGTCATATTGGTTATGAAAAACTAAATAGATTAATAAAATAAAATGTTATCCCTTATCTAGAAAAGGAAAATTTCAAGTGTGAAACTTGCTTAAAAGGAAAAATGAATAAAAACCCATTTTCTAAAAGTAAAAGAGCTCAAAATTTACATGAAATTGTTCATACCGATATATGTAGAAAATTAAAACCCAAAAGTATAGGTGGAAGTAAGTATTTCATTACTTTTATAGATGATTATTCTAGATATTCTGATACTTAATTTCTCATAAAGATGAAGCACTAGATAAATTTAAAAGGGCATGAATTAGAGGTTGAAAACCAATTAAATACAAAAATCAAGATTCTTAAAAGTGATAGAGGAGGAGAATATAGATCCAATGAATTTAGTTAGTTTTATATAACAATGGAATAGTTAGGCAAACCTCTTTTTTTTTACACTCTTCAACAAAATGAAATCGCCGAGAGAAAAAATAGAGATATGGTCAATTGTATAATTCAAAAAGCCAATGTAGATTATCAATTTTGAGGAGAAGCTATCATAGGGGGAACACATGTGTTAAATAAAATACTTTTCAAATCAACTAATGTAACACCCTAATGAATTATTGATCGGTAGAAAATCTAATCTAAACCATATCATGCTCTATTACATATGTTTATATTCCCCACATTTAACCTTGTGTTTTGAGCCCCGACATTCACGCCTATTTGGCATCCACCAATTAGGGTCAGGACAGCAAATTCAAATATCACAAAACATTTGAAAATACAATACCCGTTCATATCCAAAATTTAAAACACATGAAGGGAGGACAGTTTACTTTCGGTGGTTTACTACTGCTAATTTAAAATTCAAAATAAAGGAAGCACTTTCGTTGGTTTCCACCTTTACAATTTTCTGAGATAATCTTCTGCTCCCTGGGGAGCATATTATGCCTTTGGGGTTCATTGGCCCCGCTATACCTCCATAGGCAGATGGCCCCTCCTCTCTATGTTGAGGTGTAAATTTTACACTAACATGCAATAAGCTTCTTTCCAAACGTCGGTAAATATAATTATAGGAAGTATTTTACTTTTGCTAGATTTTCTTATGGACCTAGGATTATTTCACACCTCATCGGATGGGCAGTGGTATGTCACTAATTGAGCGCAAATTTGGAAATAAATTTTTTTTGAAAGTTTTGATAGATTTTAATATGTTAGATTTCACATTTAATGGCTAAAAAAAATTGTAACCTTCATATACAAAAAAATAAATGTTCCTATAGTACATTTTTCTCATAAATTAATATCCCAAAACTCTTTTTTAACCTATAATCAAGAAATTTCTAGTTCCAAATCTGCCATGTATATAAACATTTTAAAATAGATGGTCTGAATAGTGTGTTACATGGAACTCTACTTACGTTTTAAATCTATTTTAATTTTTTTTAATCATAATAGTTGAGGTCGAATTGATAGATTTGAGGATTACTTGGCACTCGAACTAAGGGTGGCAATGGGCTGGGCCTGGGCAGGGCTAACCTTGGCCTTGGTCCGGCCTAGTCCCTTAGGACAAGCCTAGGCCCCTTCTGAATCCAACAGCGTCGGGGCTAGGCCATACCGGGCCAAAAATAAATGAAAATAAAATACAAAAAAAAGAGGGCAGAGTTGAGGTGGCACTGGCCCTAACCCGGCCTTGGGCCACAGTTTTTGGTCCCTCCCTGCATTTTTTAGAGCTGGGCCTACCGGCCCCTTTACTGCCCTAACTGGAATCGCATTTGTTGCCGAGATTTTGAAGTCCAACGCTACCTATGGTAAAGCCTAGCCTTTATGATGAGTTTTTCCTTTTTCTTGTGAATAGATAATACTTTAATGGCTGATCCCTGCTTTTTAGAGCTGGGCCTACCGGCCCATTTACTGCCATAACTGGAATCGCATTTCTTGCCGAGATTTTGAAGTCCAACGCCACTTAGGGTAAAGCCTAGCCTTTACGATGAGTTTTTCCTTTTTCTTGTGAATACATAATAATTTAATGGCTGATCCCTGCTGTTTTTAGAGCTGGGCCTACCGACGCATTTACTGCCCTAACTGGAATCGCATTTCTTGCCGAGATTTTGAAGTCAAGGCTACTTATGGTAAAGCCTAGCCTTTACCGTGAGTTTTTCTTTGAATATATAATAATTTAATGGCTGAGATAATGAAGCTAGGGCCCCTTGTCGCCTAAAATCAGGACACGATTATGAGATTACCCAATCAAAATTTCGTGTTCTTCTTTCCCATTTCAACCTCAATAATTACAGGGAATTTACTTTTCAAACCATGAACAGTGATATAATTTGTAATGAAAGCCCCAAACAACTTTACCTCAATAATTACGGGGGATTTACATTTTATACCATAAAATAAAAGCCCCAAACCTTACAAAGTCCCTTGAAAGGGAGCTCCAATGTGAAACTGATATCCAAGAATTTCAGTTTAGGAGAAGAATTTCCAGCCAATAAACTCTACGGGTATAAATCAAAGTCATAGTATTATTCCACTAGCTATATAATATGAAGTCATGTATTTCTCAACGTATTCGTCTCAAAAACTATGAAAATTGAAGCAAAGAAGTAAAGGAAAAGCGCTAATAAGAGGTTTTTTTTTTTTTTGTGCTAGTTCAGTGGTTGGAATCAAACTCCAGATTCAGCAGCTAATCAATAAACCCCAAGCACAATTCCTAGAAGAAGAGGAGCTAGTGATGCTCGGCATGATGTCCTCTTTCAGCCATATGGATGACATCTCTTCTATGAGGTTTTTCATTTTCGGTCAATGTGCAGTTGCAGAGACGTAATATGCTGCGCAGATGACTCCATGGACGAAGCACAGGATCCCGCCGATTGCCAAGAAATTGTGATGAGAGAATCCACAAGAACCTTTCGAATGTGAGTTTGCAAGAGCCCCGATAATCAGGAGGGAAAAGGCCACTGCTAGTATGATCCTTCAAAAATCAAAACACATTGATCAGGAAGAGTATTCATTCTAGTCACAAGAACTATCCTCGATTAAGATATAGTTGTGGGTTTAATAAGGGGAGAGATCCCCATTATAGCATAGATATCACTCATGTCAAACAACAAGCTTTTAATTATTTATTGAGGCATCTTTAACTTAAGTACAGTACTAAATGGAGATATAATGAAATCACATGCTCTAGGTGAGATCCATTCCATCTATTGAGACTCTAAGGGAACATAGTTTTGTATAAAACACACATTTAATCTATCAATCTATCATGCACCATTTTCTTAAGAATGATCAAGTGTTCTATTCTTCTAGCACTTTGGTTTCCTACAGTTCACAAACACCTTCACAGACCGTTGGGATGTGGACTATATGTGGGAACATTGTGTACAGGCCCTCCAAGAATGAAAAGGATTAACCACATTTTACTGCACAAGGCACATTTCTAAATTTTACTAAAAGATGTCCTTGTGGTATCGGACACCATATGATGGCTTGAAAATTCATGTTCAATCCTAATAATGAAATTATCCTATTGTAGCGTTCTAAAATAATATGATGTAATTTTTTTTTATCTTCTATTAATGAAAAATGGGTAGTGGGCCTTCTCCCACATTGATTTAGCCAAAAAAAAATCATAATAATAATTTAAAATTCTAAAAATATTGCAGATCGATAGGGGTGAGGTTTGTATAAGGTGTCACCCTCAAATATTCACAGGAAGGTGCACCCCAAAATCTCATTATGAGATGTATTTTAGGTGTTGAAACCCTTATGATTACCCTAAAATGTATTTTTCACTCCTATAATGAAATTGAAAGCTCCAAAATATTACAGATATACTATTATTAATACTTGAAATTCAACTTATCTTCGTATTCATACATATAGATGTGGAGATAATCAATTGGATGGTTTTCTAATGATAATACAATCTTTTCTGACGAGTTTTGAGGTGCAACTTACTTGTACAGTGCAAGGTTGACACCTTCTATAAAATTTGTCCAAATCATAAACACTTGAAAATCTCAAAAATAGATGACCTACAGACGCAGCCAACCCGCATATTGTAGATGCAGGCTTGGCAATAAATATATTGTTTAAATATAATTTGATCCTAATTTGTAGAGAATATAGAATCATGGAGATCATGAATATGAAAAAATAAATAAATTTTGAAAAATAGAAATAATATTTATATTAAAAAAATATTTAGACTGTTAGTTATAGTTATTTTTAGATGGACCACCTTTATACCTCTGGACCGTATATTGTAGAAATGCAGTCCAGCCCACATGAAACAATTGTTATAAAAAAAAATCATTGAAATTAAATTTTAAAAAAAGGACTCTTAAATTAGAAAAGCTAGGAGAAATAGGGAAAATGTTTATGTTACCAAGAGAGAGCAAGGCACCCTGCGGCTACTTGTCTGTTAGCTGTGGAGGTTTCCAAGTCTTCACGTGAGGAGATACAAATGCATCCACCAATAAAGTTTGCAATGAGTTGGGCAAGCAGTAAAATGGAGGCAGCAGCTACACCAAGCCTAAAGGCTTGGTGGCTTGGCTGCCTACACTCAAATAAGCCTAAAAATCTTATGTGTTTCACCTGTAAAACAAAATAGACATGATGATTTCCTTTTAACAGTATAACATTTGCGGAAAGCTTTCGACTTTCGAGCATTAGTTTTCTTTCTTGGGGAGGAAAGATATGAAATGTATGCTGAATGGATCAATAAGAAGAAGCAAGAACTAAAGGAAACAGTGATAATGTAATGGTTTTTAAATATCAATGGTGTTTTAGGAGTTGGGGGTTGCTGAGATACCTTGTTTTGAGCCATTTCTGCCTGAACTCCAAGTATTCCGGCTGTGACGTCCATGGCTGCAATCAACAAGATGACCACTGCACCTGTGAATTTCGCCATGGAGAGAGAGAGAGAGAGAGGCAGTGAATGGATTTTAATGGAGAAAGTGTTTGACACAAGGGAGGGAAAGAATGAGAATAAAGTGGGAAGGCCTTGTTTGCTAAGGAAATAGCTGGAAAAGAAGGGAGTACTTTCACTTTTTTAGGAGAACAGTGATACTCACTATAAGATGTAGCCTTCCCTCCCACCTGACTTTTTCTTGTTCTTTTTCTTTTTCTTTTTTCTTCTTTTTTTTTTGTTAAAGAAAAGATTGGAATGGCCCTTTACCATTTAAGTTCACTTGATACTAGAATGACTACAGGCTTCTCATGACTAGATTCCTCCAGTTAATTTTCTAGTCTTGTCAACATTCTGTTTGGGTTGGGCTTCGTATAAGGTTTCAACTTTAAATAATTTAAGATAGTCGCATTTTCGATAGCAAGTTCGGTGCTGAAAATCTCTATGTTGGATTAAAAATAGATTTTCATCTTTAATTAGAAAATTTGAAGCTCAAAAAAATGGCATTGATCGTGGAGGTCTATCAACTTGTAAAAATCTTCAAAATGGATGGTCCAAATAATGTGTTTTTAAAACTCGAAATCTTTTTTTTTTGATATCCATACATCTCTGAGATGATGGAGGAATGCAAGAATTTCTAGTATTTGACAAATCCAATTGGAATTGTCCGAGTTTCTAGG